GCCACCCGTTATGGCCGCTTTTGCAGTGTGATTGAGATTCACAGGTGTATCGGCCGTCGCGGCAGCTATAGCGGTCATAACGGCCGTAAAGGCTTGTTACGCACCGTTACGTAACGATTCCGAATTGCTTCTTTTGAAAAAACACAAAAAAAAAAAAAAAAAGTTGAAAATAAGGGAAGAGAGATAGAGAGAGAAGAGGGAAGATAGAGGAACAAGAGATAGAGAGAGAGAATAGGGAAGATAAAGAACATGTTATTGATTTGTTGAAATTGTAAGACCTATGCTATTCTATTCAGCTGCTATCACTCAACCATTTTGTTTGTTTGTGTGTGTCTATCTATATATTGTTTGAAAATAATAATAATAATAATAATAATAATAATAATAATAATAATAATAATAATAATAATAATAATAATAATAATAATAATAATAATAATAATAATAATAATAATAATAATAATAATAATAATAATAATAATAATAATAATAATAATAATAATAATAATAATAATAATAATAATAATAATAATAATAATAATAATAATAATAATAATAATAATAATAATAATAATAATAATAATAATAATAATAATAATAATAATAATAATAATAATAATAATAATAATAATAATAATAATAATAATAATAATAATAATAATAATAATAATAATAATAATAATAATAATAATAATAATAATAATAATAATAATAATAATAATAATAATAATAATAATAATAATAATAATAATAATAATAATAATAATAATAATAATAATAATAATAATAATAATAATAATAATAATAATAATAATAAATTATATGATAATCCAATTACAACATATTTATATTTAATTTTTTAAATAAATTTTATATAATTTCTATTTCTACATAGAAAAAAGATAAGAAGTTTTAAATTAAGAGCTCAAATAGCTCTAATTGGTGTGTGGGTCCCATGAGATGTGATATTTTGGCCCTAGTTTATTTTTTTCTTTCTTTCTTTTTTTTATTTTTCACATCATTAGTGCCCTTTTAAAACTCCCAAATTAGAGAAATGTATCATTTCTGTTCTATATATTTTTATTTTCCAAATGAAAATAAAAGAAAATTAAATAGTTAAAATTACTTTTAATTTTATGTTACTAATTCTTTTTCTAATTTGACTATTATTTTTAATATCAAAATAAGTACTTATTTTACTATTTTATAATTTAATATATATCATATAAAATTATTATTATGTGATAATTATACTTTTATAATACAATAGAACTAAAATTATCAAAATACACAAATAATTTAACTAAAATTAATATATATAAGTATTCAAGTAACAATTTTATAGAACGATAGTGTCAATATTATCAAAATAAATAATTAAAATCATACTGTAATTTTAATTTTAAATTTAAATTTAAATTATTCTTTTATAACACACATTATACCGTCAAATATTTTTTGAAAAAAAAAATAGCACTTGTATTGCACAGATCAACTACTAGTAATATATTAAATCTATCTTTTCAAAATTAATGAGACTAATCGATCTTATAAGAAAATCATTGGGACTAAACGGATCACCATTTCTCAAGATAAAATTTATAAGTAAAATTTTCAAATAATAATAATAATGATAATAGTGATGATTATCTTAAAAAGGCCCACCAAATTAAAAAATTAATTGTCTGATTGTCCTCCAAGAATAAAGATAGTAAAGTTCAATCCCAAAGCAATTAAAGACAAAATTGATAACAAATATTATTCTTCCAAATTAAACACAATTCAAAACAACCACTATACTGTGGTAACAACTGGCGTCATGATAAGTAACAAACATCATAAAAAGTCTAATAATTGTTGATAAAGTCTAATAACATTCAATGGCTCACCATAAGAACAAACAAATCGTGGATGTTTGTAAATATTACACATTCAAAATTTTATTTAAAAATAATGTGTGATTCAAATTCAATCTATGTATAAAGCTTTCATAATACATTATTTGAATCCTGGGTGCTGAAGTCTCCAATCCCAATAAATTAAAAGACTTCAACGAACAATCAAAAGATAAAATAAAAAAATTCCCAACAAATCATAATCAATCAAATTCATTTTGTATTTGTATAATGTTCCATACATATGCAAATTGATAGTGTGAAAAGTATGTAGAAAAGCAGAGAAATTTCTGGGGTCTGTGCTTTGTCTGATCAAAGTATAATTCATTCCGGATCAATCAAGACAAAGATTTTTCTTAATTACTGAATTGGAATTGTCATAAAAAAAAAACATTATGATTTATGAAAGCCTAGTAATAATCTCTATTACAGTGTTGTATTCTCTTGCAACTTTGGATCTGAATGAAACAAGAGTAACAAATAAAAGCAGTCATAAAAATTTCAAAAAACTACACAAGACTACAATTCTATGAAGTTCCAAGATATACCAATTCTTTTCCTTAAACCAAAATACCATCATCTCGCTTCCTGTGAGCATATCCACCATATTGACGATTCCAACGACGGAGGCAAGCAAGAGAAATACACGATCCAGCGAAGACAATAACCGCCATCACAAGGAAAAACTTCTGCTCCATCATTATCTCTTTCACCCAAGAAAGCCTGCCCAACTCTGTATTTGAATCTTTTCCAGTTCTGCTCTCAATTTCATTTTTTGTGACCCTACCGTCGTACCATGGATATAGTAGGGTCTGAAACGCAGGATCAAAGAAGTCCTCCACCCCATGAACAATCACATGCCCATTGTTGTAGATATCCCAATCTGTAACCTTGACTCCATTAATGGAAGCGCGATCGCTATGATGGGGTGTTGTAGTAACCACAAGTGGGTGATGGGGAAGGAGAGTATCAACCTTGGATTCGTATGGAAGAGAAGACTGAAGAGCCTCCCTATCAAGCCTTAGCAGTGCAACGTGGTACTGCAGGAGGGTGAATGGCGGCTGAGGGTACTTGGAAGACAAGAAAGCCTTATCAAGTGGGCAGAATATGGTGATTGTGGTATTGTGGGTTACTTTGAAAGGTATCAATGTAGGGAGGATTTGTTTGAGAATTAAGGACATGGCTAGGTAACCCTTGTTGGATAAGATACTTGAGATCATCCCAACATTCAACCCGGGATCATGGTGGTTTGTTTCTTGAGCAGCTGTTGAAATAGTGGGTTGTGGAAGGATTGAAAGAAAAACAAGAAGAAAGGCGAGCAAAAGCTTGGATGCCATGAAGGAAAAACAGTAGATTTGATGAGGAGAAGTTGAAGAAGAATAGAGAGAAGTGTAAAGGATCTGAGAGCAATGTATGTATCGTAGAATGTAATATTTGTATAGATTGAGAACCCGAACTAGGACTTATATATATAACTAAATTGAAACCTTGTCCAAATAGGATTAAAAGACCTAGTAGATCAGGGTTTCCAAAAACAATCACACCTTGAGGAACCTACCAGCTACTAATAGATTAAAAAAAAAAACTTTAATTACAAATTTTAAATGGAAGTGTTTTTATTAATGTGAACTTACTATCTTTATGTCTCATTAAAACACTCTTTTGTTTTATTTCTTGATTTTTAAAAGAGTCTTAATTTGTTAGCTTATTTTTTAGATTAGTTTGCACTACAACAATCCATTTTAAATCCAATTCATCATTAATATGGAACATTCTAAAATTTGAATCCATAAACGAGTTCAACTGCTTTGCCAAACCCAATCCAAAACCTCCCAAACAAACAGATCATTTTTTTTATAAATGAAATTCACCATTTAAAAAAAATAAAAAAAAAAACAGAATTCACCGAACAGCCAAACCTTTAAAAAAATTAAACAAATTTCATCCCAAAAAAAAAAAAAATTAAACAGAATCAGACAACAAAAATAAGAAGATAGCAATTTCAAACTATTTTTAAGCAATCTCAAACAAATTTATAGAGAAATTTCAAACAATCTCAAACAAAATTTGAACAATAAATACCTGGATTTCAAGATGGTTGAATTATGTATGAATTTTTTGTTTATATAATATTAATTAAAGGAAAATCAAATATAGAAACTGCCCCAATCAATTCCATTGTTATTTTTCATACATAAATCCTGAATTCCACAACTACAAGCCAACCATTTGGCGTTGATGTTGTAGAAACCACCACATAGGCACAGACCCACTTATCATTTTCTATTTCTTGCAGTTCCATTTCTTGAATATGTAAGTGTGGTTATGGCACCAGAAATTTTTCTTAGTTTTCAATGAGATTTGAGAAGCTAATTTTACACAGTTCAACCATGGGATGGTGGAATTAAAACAACAGGAGAGTTGTAATGGAGATGATGATGGTAAGCATCCATGGTGGAGGTTTTGGTGAGTTGATGGTGGGTGTTAATGTGATAGGAGGTGGTGGTAGTTACGGATGAAATGGGGTTTGGGGGGACTGATTTTTTGGGTGAGAAAGAATGAAATGGTGATTATCCAATCCTCTGTTCTTAACTAATCAACAACAACTCTCACCATATTTTGTCCAACGCCGCTTTCTTCTCTCTCAAGTAATCGCAACCTCCATTCACTCCTTCAATATCGCATCATTCCCATGAAGCTCGATAGGGAGGCTCTTGAATCATCTCTTCCATTCGAGTCCAAGCTCAATACCTCCTCGCAGGCCATCCACTGGTTGTCACAACAATACTCAAAAGCCAATCCGCTTCCATTAATGAAGTCAAGATCAGAGATTGGGAGATTTTCAACGATGGGCATGTCATCGTTCATCGCATCAAAGACTTCTTTGATCCAGCCTTGCAGATTCCACTTAATAGTTTTGTAATATAGTCGATCTTATGTATAATTTTATCAATTTTAATTTTGAAATAACTCTTATTTATAAAAAAAAAAAAATTACTATTGCGGGAGTTGCCGATAATATTATTATATAAGCATACAAACATTTGGGAATGAATCTAGCCTTTCTACGTACATCAATTAGAGTGTTTCTTTAATTCTGAAACAAAACCTAAACCATCAATATTATAGAAAGTATCGTGTTTTAAAACATGCTCAAGATTAAGACTACTTTTTCATTAACATTTTGAATTTAAATAGAAAACTACAAATATTTTTGTACCTGAGTACAATACTCAAAGATAATCACCCTAACATTAATCTATATATTAGTGGGGCCTCTATCTATGCAGGGCTAGGCGATGTGCTTGCATACTTAAAGGACGAGCTGCTATTGATGAGAAAACAAATGAATCAATGATCTGATCATGAGTTGACGCGTTCAGAGATCACGGTTAAAAGATTGAATTCCCGCTCCAATATCCATGATGACTCGTTCTGATGGTTGATACTTAAACTGTACTCCAGAAAGTACCCGCGGTAGGTGATGAGGGATATAATGGCTCTGAAAAAATCAAATACAGAGAGTTACTATAATTGTTAGATTCCTATAAATATAATTCAATTAATGTCAGCAAAACAAAAGTAACAAAGTGAATTCACATGAAGGCGATAAAGCCAACTCCATTCCATTAGGCAAACGTCGAATGGATCATGAAAACAACCCACAATAGAAATTTGTTCTATGATGGGATTGCAACAACTGTTCTATGGCAAGATTGCAGCAATTTCAAACTCAAACCATAGTTACTGTAAATAAGCCTTACAAACATTATTTCATGGAACAAAAGAGTTTTTTAAAAGCAAGATTTCAGATTTAATGATTGCAATCTCTATGAAATAATACAAGCTCCTCCTCGAGCATGGTTTCAGAAGTTTCATAACAAAACATGTAGTCAGACGTAGACACTTATTCTCCTGCAAATAGAACAGCAATAATCTACTTCAAAATCAGAATCGACAATCCTCAGTCCAATCACCACCCCCACCATATTACTTTCAGGAGGAAATCAATGGAAACTCCATTGATCATTAAAACTATATAGAACTTCATCATCATATGTCAAAACCTTTTCTCAATGAACTCATAAAAAATCTCATTGCTGCAGCACAATGGGCAGGGGATTGCACAATCACATCAAAATAGGAAGGATGTTAACAAAATACTAATATATATCAATAAAAACACAATGTACATCAACTCCAATGGAGAGCTATCCTTGATGCCAGAGTCAAAATTTGGCAACAACTCTTTCAAATTCATCTTCAATGTCAAAATTTGGCGACAACTCTTTCAAATTCATCTTCAATTATTCGCTATCTTCCATGCCTAATTACAGCAATATCAAACTTACTGCCAAAATTATAGGCATGGAAAATTTGGCACAAAAGTTTAGAGATTGTCAAAATCGGCAAGAGCTCCTCTCTATATCCTTCTTGGGGAAGATGTTAGAGATAAATCTGGAATACTAATCTTATCTCTAGAGATTAATAGAAAAAAGATAATGCTTAGGATATAGTAGATATCCAAACAATCCTCTCCCTATCTCTAATGTCTACAAATATGATTGTGCTCATGTGTGTCCATTTGCATGAGTAAAAATAAAATAGTACTACTGATCTTCTCCTGTGGACATAGGCCATCATGGATGAACAATGTAAACTTCATATCAAATTGAATAGTTGACCACCAACTCATTTAAAATCATAAGCTTTTAGATGAGTTAATGGTCAACTATTCAACATGATATCAAAGCAGACAATAGATATTGTGTTTAAACCTTACCGCCCTACCCAATAATTAAAATAATTGCACATGTTTGGCCCGCTCATGAAAAAGAGTCCGGCCATATAAATAATAAAGTTAACCCTTTCTCTGACAGCTTAATCTTTTAGATGAGTTGATGGTCAACAATTTAACAATACATACCATAAACTCAACTAAATGGAAGAAAGGATCAAAGAGAGAGGGAGCAAGAGAATGAAAAAGGCTATGAAAACTAGAGCATTGTCAAGAAGTAAGCACAATATCAGTGAGCTTACCTGTATGCTGCAGATTCAGACATAGATGACTCTGCAACTTTATCTACCTTGCGAATCACTGCATAACTGCACCGGACACGTGATTTAATAAAAGTTTGTGCAAAAGAAAAGCAAAAACCAAGTTTGCTTTCTTAAATTAAAGGTGAATAAGATAACTAATCCCAAACCATTAGAACAATCCACTCTTAAATTTTTTTAGCATATTGACTCATTGAAGGGCTAAGGATTTTGATTTTGTGAGTCATCATCACTGGCAGGTCCCATATTTCCATACTGAAACCTGCCTTAACAATGTAACTAACAAATCAAGTGCTGTTCCCTTTTGCTGTCAAAAAATCCAGGTATTTTACTGTATCTTCCAGCATGTTATTTCAATGGTGCCTCTCTCTTGTTTCAAAACTGCCCCCATGAAAAGTGAATATAGTAATTCTTTTAATATATGGCCAAAATTGATCATCATGCACTCACTTTCAAATAGCAACAGATTAGATTAGGGTAGGCAGTTGATGCAAAGTGTTTGGACATAAAGTTCCTAGAACTTATGGACAAGCAATGCAAAGGCAAAACGCACTAGTAGAGGCAAGACGACACATGCTCAGAATCACAATCAAGACTCATCACTTCACCATGGCCTACGATGGATTTTGGGCGAATTCCAACGTTTAGGTCTTCAATTTCGCTGATTTTCAGTTTTTGGAAATATTTGATTCATCTATAACTTGGTCTAGATGAATCCGATTGTGCCTAGGTTTTTTCCAATATATTTCTTTTTCATTATAGTGAATTTCAGCCTAACTAAAATCGTTCAGTTTTTGGTAATTTTTTTTTTATTTTATTTGATTTCAGCTTGATTAGCAAGTAATTAGCCTAGGATTTGGTTTTCTTTTTTGCTTTAGGTTTTCTCTACTACAAATTCACATGAACGCCTTAGGGCAAACCAGTTGATTTTGGAGAATTAATAATATTGTCAGAGAGAGTATCTCTTTTTTATCAAATTCATTGTTGTTCATCCCATTACCCTTCCCTGCATAAGCAGGTAGTAAAATGAAAGTAACAAACCCAATACAAAGCCCACCCCCTTTTGCAGTGATACTGAGATTTGAGATCAAAAGAACCAACATACTTACGTATCCATATTATAATTAATTTTCAGTTATTTATTACGTTACATGCTTTTCTTTCATTAATAATTAAGGTTAAAGTTGAGATTAAAGAGAGAGAAAATTATGGCAGGGCTAGAACGGTTATAAAAAATAAAAAATAAAAAATAAATAAATAAAAAAACTACTTTTATTTCCGTTGAGCTATCAAAAGGAACACTTGAGACACAACATGACAATGAAATCGGAGAGGGAAAGAAAGAGAGAGACAGAGAGAACAGAGACGAAGAAAGAGAGAGGGAGAAGAAGAGACGCAACATAGATCGAGAGAGGGAGAAGAAGAGACGCAACAGAGGCGAAGAGGAGATCGAGGGTGAGAGAAGCGAGAGAGAGAGAGAGACGAAGACCTAGGGCTTCGAAGAGAGGGACGAAGACTAGGGCTTCGACGGGGAAGTCCAACGGCGAGATCGAAGTCGTCGAACGGAGGATCGAAGCCAGCGACCAGGTACTCTCCTTGCCCTCTCAATAGTGCTCCCTTCCCGCATCAGATTCGCGTTTCCCTCTCCTCAGATTCGTGATTCTGATGCGATCCTTCCTCAGAAGCGCAAAATCGCGCTTTTTCCTCGGAGGGATGGTTGGGGGGAGATCTCAAAAGCGCAAAATCGTCACCATCTGAGACGATTCCTGCTACTAAGATCTCCCCCCAACCATCCTAGCATGCCAATGGTAAACTAATACTATCTTAATGGTCCACTAAAATGGTTACTTTTAGGTAAAAATTCAAGAAGAACTTCACCTTTTAACTCGTGCTGGAGAAGCATTATGGAGTACATGATGATGAGCCGATGCATCATTAACAGATTCTGGGATTATAGACCCGAGAAAACTACTTGGTCTTCTGCTTCTATAAATTTATAAATAAACAGATCAGTTGACTTCACAAATCCTTCAAATGAACTACAGCTTCAAGTTAAACATAAATAAAAGTATGTGCCCAATGCAATTCTTGAAGAACATAAAGAAAACAGAATTAAGAACAATGGAATGACAGAAACCAAAAAGGAAAAGATGTTTCAGTGTCAAATTAATGCATATGACAAATTATGATAATGGAAATTTTATGATTACATGTTATGACAAATTATGATAGATAAGATCCTTACATAGTATGTCATAATGAATAAATATATACAAGTGTATACAAATGAAGTGTATATAAATATGATCACTAACTTGTGTGGCAAACAGAGAAGAGGTTCAAATGCAGTTCACCTTTGATTTAAAGCGAATCCTAGAGGGAAAGCATGAACAGAACCTGAAGAACTTGTGGCTACAAGAATATCTGGAAGTTGCATGGATGGCCCAAATGACAACGAAAATATAGTTGATGGGTATGTCCCCCTTCGGAAGCTATATGACTGCTAAAGATAGAATAGTTAGGTTCCTTAAGTATAATGCAATCAATTACAGATATGACCCAAAGTAAAACTGATATGTTGCATTAAATCTGAGGTAAAAATGGTCATGCATTATTGACATTAGGCAACAGCATGACAGTACAGAAAAGGGTGGTCTATCCATTTATATGGGCCTCCACAAAATCTAATGTAATCAATCATTAAATGCAATTAAACCAGGTTAATTTTTATCCTAGTAACTATAAATTGAGCAGCTCATCAAACAGTCAGTTCACTATCCTTCTGCCTTCATCCACAGCAAGGTGTGGCACTATGTGAGCCTGAATGCACCAATTCATAGATACAAGAGCTACTCCCCATGTTGGAAGTCCCGTCAAAGGCATATGATATACTTCACCTTAGTCGCATCTGAAACAAGGTGAACTCTGATTATGGTTCCCTGTTCAGATGCCGTTGCTATGTACATTCCATTTGAAGAAAGAACCATCGCAGCCAGCGGTGAGCAATGAGCATCTATCTGTAATATATTAGATTTAGTTTAGAAATTAACTCATCAAAAGAGAAATATACACATTCAAGAAAAAGCTTCAATGTCATTGAAGCATCAAAGTACTATCCACAAACAAGAAAATAAAATCAGGCAATTAAGATTTCTGTTACATGCACGTGGGTACAAGTATTCGGTGCGAGTCCGAGCGTTACTTTCATAAATCTAATCTTAGGATATTGGGATATATATCCAAAAGTTAGATAAGGGTACAAGGAAGCATCATGAACATGATGTATATATTGCATATTAAATAATATTCTTAGATAAGATATTGTAAATTATGTAGAAATGTACTAAAAGTTAAATAAGATTTAGAGAAAATATGGAATTTTTATCTCTCAATTATGTGAGAGGCTAGAAATGTTTCTTTACTTAAAAATGTGAGTTTTTTCCTTTTCAAACATCGTAAGAAATTAGAGGTTCCAAATGTCTAAATTGGATACAGGTGCCCTACACATATATCACACCTTACCCTTATCATATCTAGTGGACATGGATCTTGTGAAGGAAATAAAAGAGTCCCATGTAACATAAGATATATCCAATCCAATTTCATAATAAGAAAAGGAAAGAAAAATGTACTTTATATTCAGTGAATGATACCCACCTCCTGCCCCACACCCCCAACCTTTTTATTTTTCACTTTTATAGATCCTGGTTCCTGATGTATGTAAATTGTTAACCATCGGAACTTAAGGAAAATAAGATTTTAATGTTTAAAATGGATCAAATAGTTGAAATTTCAACTAACTTAGTTAATGCCATGTGTTGCAAACTGATGCAAGAGGTACTTAGAAAATATGAGGAAGAAGAACTCCGAAAATATGAAGAAGAAGGAATATATTTCTGTTATATTCAAAACTTCTTATCTTACAAGACCAAATGACACTCCTTATATAGGAGATATTACAAACATCATTATAACCCATTATATGCCACTTACATATTATAAATTACCACTATCTACCACTATCATATTATATACATGCCACTATCTACCACCAACACCACTATCATATTCTATACATGCCACTATCCTTATTACTTTTTACTAAGTGAATCATGTATCTAATTCATTTACATGAATTTTTAAACTACAGCAAACATATAATTGTGACATTTGGCTTAACATCCTTAGCCATCTACTAATAAATATACATATCGTTTTCATTATTCATTTAATTTTTTGGGAAACTTCTATAAAATCATCTATATCTATATCTATACTATTATATATGTCAAGGCTTTTAATGTTGTTGACGTCTCATATTTTTGGTTTTCCAAAAATGCCCCTATAGTTGGTGTCTCATGTAAAAATTATAATAAGAGGATAGGACTCGAAACAGGGATCATGGCACTTGAACAACACATACTATGTGTGAATTTTTCCATCATTATTCTTATAATATTATTTTTTTAGAATTGCACATATCGCGTGTGTGGTCCAGTTCTTAATAATTATACATTTTTTTTAAGAATATAAGATGTTAACGTCAAATTCTCAAACTTTGAAAGTCATATGCTAGCAAATATTGAAGAGTGTCGGTCTCACATTTATTTTTTTGATGATAGACATGGCCAAGAAATGACAGACATGACCAAGAAATGACGGACATCACAAAATGAGTGTCGAACACGTGCCCAAAAATAAGATTTTTATTTTTAATTAAGAACATAGAAAAAAAGAGTATTGAATACATGTCCAAAGAGTGTCGTTGTCCGAGTGTTCTACACGGACACGTAACATTTTTAGAAGTTTCAGTGTTTCTTGGCCACCTAGTTATATTTTTCTGTGGATTGAGACTGTGATTTATACAATTCATATGTATGCCGCTTTTGAGTTTTGTATGTATTTGAGGCTTGACATGTAATCTATCTAATATTCTTTTTGGACTTGTAGTGTTAGTACGCAAATATTTAAGTTTTGGGAATTGTGGGCTTACTCATAGCTTTTGAAGCCTACATGTGGAAGTATAATTTTGTAACCGGACTTGAACTATCCTTGATATTTTAGCATTTTATCCCAAGTAATTGATATGCAACTCAACACAACACTTAACTTTTATTCAAATCTGCCTATTATTTATTTTTGCCAATTATTAAACGTTTTCAGCGTTGTTTATCCCCCAATAACCACAATTTTTTCAAAATGTCCAAGTCTTAAGTGGAGTCCCTTAGATTCTAGAGTTGATCAGGAACAACTCCACGACAATTAATTTACGGCCACTTTTCAATAATAAAGAAAACCAGACATATTTATATTAATTCAGATTTGTTGTGCTTAGTTCATGCATTACAATTCAAATAACTGGTTTAAGTGACCTTAAGTGTTACACTTAGCGATAATCCACTGAGATTAGAAACTGGGGCGTGGCACATTGTCTCTTCTTTCAACAATCCTACATCTATACCATCAGTCTGTCATTCACCACTTCTAGTGCTAACAGCTAGAAACATCTAAGGGTGCCTGCTTTAATTTCATTCAGTCATACATATCCTTCCAAACAATTACAACATAGAGAAAGAAAAGCTTACTAGTAGGTGATCCAAACGAGTTCCCTTTGGCAGAGATAAACCTTCAAAGCCACCATGTATTATGTCAACAAGTCTGGTATCATGCTGCAACAAATGATCATCTAAGATTAAAAGCAAACAAATGGTTTGCAATATAACCAATGAAAAATGGATAAATTACAAATACACCCCCCGAGGTTTCTTTAAAATACGGATTGCCCCTGTGATTCTAGAAATTACACCTTGCTACTATGAAGCATGGACACTCCAAAATCGGTGCCGTGGCGGTGTCCGACACGCGGACACGCTGGGGACACGGGGACACACTGGGGACACGTACAGGACACGTCATTTGGCGTGTCCCTTTAATTTAATGATTTTTTTTGTCTAGGACACAGTGGGGACACGTGTCCATGTCGGGACACGGCATGGGACACGTACAGGACATGTCATTTGGCGTGTCCCCTCTCTCTCTCTCTCGTTTTTATCTTTCTCGATTCATATATATATATATACAAGAGGTGTGATCTGAGTTGGAGTTTAACTATTATATAACAACTATTATATAATATATAATAATAGTAATTATATAACATATAATATACTCATAAGATAATATATAATACATATTATAAGATAATACATACTTATACATATTAATAAAAATAAATAAACACACGCATTTATTTAAAATAAAATAAAAAAATTAATTGGAACACATTATTTAAAAAATATAATAAATAAATAAAATAATTAATGTGTA